GCCACCATCGCCCTCGAAGCGAGAAGATTTACTTCAAACGGATTGCACGTTTTCGTGCCGTTCGCGCGGGGCGAAGTCCATTCATTCGCGATCTCGCCGCACCTTTCACACTGCACTAGCACTTTCACGGCAAGTCCGTAGTCCCGATCCCCTCTGACGATCGTAGCCGGTCCGTGGCAGGCTTTGCAACAAACACAAGGCACCCATTATCGCGTTTAGGATATCTAGATGCATAAGCAGATAAGGAGCAGCGTGGTCCGAGTCCTGTGCGGTTGCCTCACTACAACTCGCGGTGAAAAAGTCAATTTTCCGTGCAGTTGCTGGCGCCGATGAAAGCCGGTCGAGCGTCGCTTTCTCCCGGGCATGATTTTCTTCAACTTCGGCGTTTGTCACCACCTTGGCGTCGATTCGTAGTCGTCCGGAGTTCGCTTCACCGGCATCGTCGTCGGAGGCAACGCGCTCGGTCGCACCATCGCTGAACGGCCGCGGAGCGTCGACACATCGTTCATCGGAGTCAACAAAGGGCTCTGATGACTTCGTAGACTTTCTCCCACGACCTTTGCGTTTCCTGCGACCAAATGCGTGCACGGTCCGATACTTTTTTGCGTTTCCAGGCATGGCGATACGATCAGAAGCTTCAGAGTGCTCTGCCGATTTCGAGGCGTCACAGCGGTAACCCTTTCAAAATGGCGTCGGGTCGCGTATGCAGGCGCAAGCCGCGAGCTTCCAGCCAACCGGAAAGCGCTATTTCAGTCACGTGCGCCGTTTAGCAAATGGCAGTGAGCGCGGCTCTTCGTCTTTGAGGCCCCGTTTTTCGAGCCGGGGAAACGCTCAATGTTGCTTACTGAATAAAAAAAAAAAACAGCTGAAAACGCGTTCTTTCAAACAAGACCAAAATGGCGCCGATCGAGCGCGTAGTTCCCGCGTATCGTAGAGCCGAAACCTGCGCTATTCGCCCTCAATTTAAAGGGCAGGACGCCCGTTTTCGGTTTTTTAAAGTTGAATAACGATAAAAGTTGATGGTATTCGGCTATGAAATTTTGTAAATAGGTGCGCAATGATGTCGGGAACGCGAAAAGAAGGTCCGCGAAAACTCGATTTTTTGGCTGATTTTCGGTCCCGAAGTGCCGCGTCCCCCCTTAAGAGGGGACGTGCCTTTGAGAACAAACTTTCTTGTTTTGGTCGGATGATGATGAACATCGGTACAGACACTAAGAATGGTCTCACCGTGCATCCACAAAAATTTCGAGGCGATAGCACAAATAGTTAATGAGAGACAAATTATTTTTCAATTGAACCTCGTGGAGGGGCTGGAGGATTTATAAAATGACAAAAATGGTTCGTAATTGCTCTATCCACAGCCAAATGTATGTTGAAGGGGGCTGCATTCTCAAAATAACTTATTTGCAACACTAAAACTTGTAGTTTACGTTTTCTCCAGCGACACTGCAATGAGAACACTTGCACTACAAACAAGAAACTCTATAAAAAATTCTTTAAGGAGTACAATAAAAAACCAAGATCGCAGCCCCCTGAAGCACAGTTCAAGGAGCATTACAAAATAAACGGAATCAAAATCCGTACAGTCGTTGCCCAGATATCTGCTCCACGAGCTGAGTATAATGCCAAAAAAACAGTATTGAGAAAACTGCGTTTAAAGGTTCAACTTCTTTTTACTTCTCTAAAACACCTAAAGATTGTGATCTTAGGTTTGTCTTGTGATATTCGACTTTTCAGGTATCTGGTCTCTGACCAGTGTGCCTTGGTTGCCCTTTTTTTTTTCCCCATAATTTCCTTTTGATGTTTTACAAAGAACAAGTATGGATTTCAAACCAAGTTCTTTGTATGAAGGAGTGGTGTGATAGGCATGACAGAAAAGATTGTAATTGAATGAGACCATATACTGAATTCATTACACGTATTTCCTGTGCCGAAGTTGTAATTAGCATAATTATGTTCTTGATTATAAGTATTCACTGAACATTTCTTTATTTAGAGAGAGGTTTATTGCATCAGAAAAATGGATCACACCATGACAGCCTATGCCTTCTTTCCAAATAACAAAGTTATGGGCAGAAAACTGGTGGCACAGGAATTTTTAGCAGTATATTTATGACTTAAAACAGGCATATAAAAATTCTTGCCCTGCATTCATACGTGCTCTTTTGCCGCTCTAGCTGTGAAACGCATCATCATACAGCCGGTCGCGGAAACTCTAATCTAAAGCAATTCATTAACCTCGGAACATTCATAGACGTTCGTGGCGATATCAAGCACGGCTCCAAGCACGTCTGAATCGCATCACAAAAGCTTATTGACAGCACTCCGTATGACTGTGGGGTGCGCGGCCGCGCGGACAGTGCAGCCGGCGCGTAATGCACTTGCCGGCGGCGTTCGATGACGATGTGCGAAATGGCTAACTACGAGGACAAAAAATTGGCACGCACTGCACTTGGCATCACATTTTCGAATGACGACGCGCGAAACTGCTAGCCACTGTTCCGAGCAATCCATGGCAGTGAAGGGGGGGGGGGGCTGACGAGCTTGACTGTGTTGTCCGCTGCCGATGCGTTAAATGCCCATACGTGATTCAGAGGAGCTAGCGAGTGATGTGGTACATTACTTGCAAAGAAGCACGTCGCCAAGAGTGCGCTTGCGCGTCGCTCCTGCTTGCAGTCTCGCTGTCAGCGGAGTTAGGCATAAAGCCAACTCCGATGACGCGCCGCACTCGCAGACCGCCGCGCACCGCTCGTAGTAATCTGATCGTGCGTCCGGTGCCGCCACTCATAGCAATCAGATCGTGCCGCCACTTTTAGCTTCATTGCTTGCAAAGAAGCACGTCGCCACGAATGCGCTAGCGCGTTGTTCCTTCCCGCAGTCTCGCTGTCGGCGGAGTTTGGGCTAAAGACGACTCCGATGACGCGCGGTGCTCGTAGACTGCGCTCCCGCTCGTAGTAACCTGATCGCGCATTCGCTTAGTGCTCGTAACTAAAGCGTAGTTATATCTCAAGTGGTTATCAAGCCGTGAACACGTCACGAAGTGGGGATTTTCAAGAGCCATGTCCTCGCATTGCACAAGCAGCAGACGACGATCTCCCAGAGCGAGCATCGGGCCAATGGCGAGGCGAGCTGAGGCAACATGGCGGCCACAGCGAATCAAGGGCCTCAAAATGACCTTCAAACATTTGCTTTTTGCTCGCTTGTTGTTAAAGGGAGGAGCCAGCTGAGGCGGGAAAGTTAAACACGGAGAAATGCTCTTTCCGATGAGCCCAAGAAGTCGGCTCCCGGCCCAAGCATCGCGAAGCTATTATTTTTTGAAAATCGGCGTTTTCTTGCCATTTCCAGAAAAAGTTTTGCTACCTAGGTGGGTGAAACGAATTTTCCGAAGCACTTCTGCGCGGTTTTCAGTGTAGATATTTTGGAACCAGATAGAAAAAGGGGTTCAGAAACTGAAAACTTGAGTTTCAAAGAATAGATTTTTTTGCCATTTTTCGCGATCCCAACGCCGCGTCCCCCCTTAAGCGTCATCCCAAGCACAAAAAAGTAGCTGTATTTAACGCACGACCACTAAGCAGAAAGTGCCTTGAAATAGAAAATTCCAAAGTTTGCTGGGTTGACTTTAGTTGCCCCAGCACACGTGAACAGCTTTGGTGACGTCTAGTAGTTGTCGTGGCGCGCACCCAGCTAAGCGCATGCCGGCCACGTAAATACAGTTGAACCCCGCTACAACGAACGCCGCTTCAACGAAATTCCCGCTACAATGAAAAATTCACGGTTCTCCGTCAGCAGTCCATAGGAGCCGATGCATAAATATTGTCGCCACAATGAACACTTTTTCTTCTGCCGTCCCGCTTCAATGAAATTTCACGACGAGATTCCAGGCTCAGATATTTATTGCTATACAGTAAACCGATATTTAACATTTTGATGCATTTTCAGAACCTGAAAATACGTCGACGAAGTCTAAAGCATTGGCACCACCAGAAACTACCACTGTTCAGCAAGCATGGGCGCTGCCATTGCTATTGAGCAATGGAGGCACCCATGCTTGCTGAACAGTGGTGGTTTCTGGTGGTGTCAACGCGCGTTTTAGACTTCGTCGACGTATTTAAGTTTCTGAAAATGCATCAAAATGTTAAAAATCGGGTTTACTGTATAGCCGCAGACGATCCGCAGCTGAAGCTCAGTTGCTTAGTTCATGGTTTCCTTCGCGCAGCTGCTGGGTGCATCTGTAGAACAATGCCTTTTCCGAATCCAATGCTTATCATTTTGTTCACGCTTGACCAGTGTGGTAACTAATGAGAGCGGCTGTTCGTCCGCATTATCAACAAAATCAGCTAGCCGCCAGTGATGGATGATAAGAATGGGATGAAATAATTCAAAAGTCACCGCTTCACGATAACCTGCTGCCATCTTGGTGTTTTGACGGCGGACAGCTGTTGGTAATAACGTGTTAATGCAACTGTTTGGTTCGTTCACGAAAGCAATTGTGGTCATTGTTTTAGCATGCTTTTCACCATGGCCTCGCTATTATGCATGGGTGAGAATCATGACGTGACGCTGCTGGGATAGAATAAAAAGCAGCGAAAACTTTTTGAATTTTGAGAATACGGTATTTACTCGCATAATCCTCGCACTCGCACATTCTCGCACCCCCAACATCGCCCAGAAAAAATACGATTTCTTTTTTTCCTCGAGTAATTATCGCACTCCGACTTGAGGTTCAATAGAAGAACCCCGAGTTGTTAGCTTTGTTTTTGGAAGTCGAAACACCCCTTGGCACAGGTTTAGCGCAGAGTTGCCAAATTTTGAGGAAATGTAGCTGGATGTAGCAGCCAGGGCACTTTGAGGCAGTGTGGCGCAATCGGCCCAGAGGTAGCATCGCTGCTTTAGTAAGCATTACCATAACAGAGCAGGAAATGCGACAACCCTGCCACTTCATTATGCAATCTGCCTGTAACAACACCAAGACACAAAAAATCAGGACACGCTGTACTTACGCATTGATGGGGTCATAGGGCCGTGCAGCATACAAGGGGTAAGTCTCCGCCATCCTGACAATGCGCTGAGTGTCGTAGAGGAGGAAGCCGCCGAATAGCACCAAGCCCCCATACATGCTCAGTGAGTAGAGGCCGGCACCCAAAGCTGTGGTGGGGGGCAGGAACATTGAGCCTGGAAAACGAGAGGAGAGCCAAATTCAGACTGCATGCCCAAAAAAAAGAAAACAGCGGCTGTACAAAATAAGGTGTCCTGCAAATCGATGGTGCCACATCCAAGTTATATACACAGGTGTGAGCTGATTGGCATCATTTCATGTAGACCATTCACAATAATGAAGTTGTTCACAGGATTAAACCCTACCTCTGTAAGCATTGAACACCCATGTGGTCAGTGGAAGCTTTCATTTCTCACAGTAAAACACAATCAATGCATGGTGGTGTGAAAGTACACCCCAGAAAGTTCAAAACTTAATAGCAGAGGATACTACAAAAGTGCAAACCACGAAGACAAAACAAACAGGGCTGGTACTTTACTTGGAAGTGGCATTTATTACAAAACAAAATTCCTTCAGCTAGATGCCATACAAACAACAGCAGCGCAATTTGTTGTTTCAAAATTTGAGCTGCCTATTGGTGAATATACAAATGACTGCACAATTTATAAATTGAATTCAAAACAGTGTATTATTGGACTTACGGTAGGGGAACATGACACATTCTCTTGTACATTGCAATAGAAATTCAACAACACAGAACACTAAATGGAAAATGAAATATGACTATTCTGAAATTAAATGGGACACGATGTAATGTCATTGAATATGTCACTGAAGGCAACATTTTGACATGGGCACTTGCGTCATCAAGGCAGCAAATGTTTTCTTTAGCAGCGTTTTGACGTGTTCAGGTCACTCTTCCCAACCCACTGCATTGAATGCTTTAATATGATGAATGTGCTGACACTCCTCATAAAAAAACGCGAGCAATAGGACATTTTCAAGCAATCCCAGAACCCCCCGCAGGCGCGTGAAGCAGTATGTGAAAGTGTGTATGTTGAATTGGTCAAACGCGCCGGCTGTTTCCCCCCCCCCCCCCCCATTCACTACTTGTTCGCTCAGTGGGAGCAACAAACGAAAAAAAACTGTCACCGCTAGTTTGCTAATATTACATCCTAAATACTATACATGTCTGAACACACCTGCATTCATCTCTATGGATAAAATGAGAAAGGAATGATTCAGGCAGAGTAACCATTACCAAGCAGATGTATACAGGATGTAACAGTTAAGCAACATGCGCATTATCATGTGCCAATAAATGCAGTCAAAATGTGTTATCGCGAGAATTATTTGAGCTGAAACACAGATTTCATAATTATTCAATGATTGCTTGTTCACAAGCCAAACAATTAATTGTCCGTGATCGAGTGTAACCCAACTACAGAGAGGTGTGACAGTGTTCAGGTATAGAGATTATAATTTGATTTTAATTGACAGGTAACGCACTGTAGCAAGAAGTGCGCACATTCTAAACGTGTGTTAACAAATGGGGATGGGAGTGCAATTTATTAGCGAGACTTCTTGCTCCCATGATTTACAGTTCAAATTAACAAGATTTTACTATGTGTGTGTTAAGTGTGTGTGTGTGTATAATATATATATATATATATATATATATATATATATATATATATATAAACTTCGTTAATTCAGTCACTGGGGCCGTGAGAAATCTTCGAATACGCGGATTTTCAAATTAACAGGACATACGAAAAAAATGGGAGGCAAAGAACTTGCAATAATTTGCAGTAATGAGAGATGATCATTTGCTGTGCCGACTAGTTTGTAGTTCCATTTGCTGTGCTGACTAGTTTTAAGTTTCATAGGTTATGTTTTCCCGCAATACCTGGCCTTAATTTTTGCTAAAAAGTACAGAGGAATCGTGGGTCTCACTGCTGCCACGAGGAAAAAAAGAAAAAAAAAGATAACGCAGTCGAGATCAACTGAAATGTGCAACTGCGGAAAACAAGATGTGCTTCACTGCAACACAGTGGCGACAAGCAGGCAGCATGTCCCCTGCTCCTCGCTGCGTAGGCACCCCATGATGTGACTATTCGCCCATTCTTTCTGGTAAAATAAAGAATTTAGTAATGACCAGAGTGACGAAATCCGCACTATGTTTTGTCTGAAAAACATGATCATTGAAGCTTTTGAACTTTGTTTTCGAAGTAGGCATTGCAGGCACAAACTCTGAAAGCGGTGCAAGTGCGCGAATTGCTGGATCCAGCAATCAGAGGTTTGCATACATGGTGAATTCCACCCAACTGTCCTTTATTAAATTTCTTTAGAATCCCAGAAAGAATGGTTAAATTATGACGCTGTAACGTTGCGAGAAATATGCAATATGCTGCCCGCGCGTCACCGCTGTACTGCAGTGAAGCACGTGTTGTTTTCCGTAGGTGCATGTATTGTCACGGGGCTAGGGTGCCAGGTGCCACTCATTAGTATTGCTACGTTTCATTGCCTTAGGCCCTAGTTTCACTATGGATAATGTGGTATTTCACGAAAGTAACTTTAGTTCCTGTCGAGAAGTGAAAACTTGCTTCGGTGCGACCTCTCTTACGAGATCGATCAAGGGAGGCGGATGCTTGTGAAACCACAGAAGTATGAATGTATTCGATAACAGCTGCGACCACCCACCATGCAGCCTAACAAAGGGACGCGGCTGGACTTGTTAGACAAGTCCTCCCGACGCCAGCCGTACGCTGTCACTATAACCCAATGTAATTATCCAATGTGGGATACCTACACAAAGTTGAGCCTTGCCGCCATGAAAATTGGAAGTAAACAGAAGTGAGGAGAGGACAGGAAAGATAAAAAGCCTGAGAGAAAGACAAAGATGTGAGAGGAGAGAGACAGGAAAAGGCCACTGCCGATTTTCCCTGAGTGGGTCCGCACAGGGGTGCAGTCTACGTAAAGCCGGGGCCAAAGGGGTGTGTTGCCTCTGCCGAGGGGCCTTAGAGGTCCTATCACTCGGCATTGGCTCAATCCCCAGGATCCGCTTCTCCCCAGACACGGCAAAGCCATGCACGGCTAAGCGTGGGAGGGAGTCGATACTCCCCCGTTAGCTCGGGTCTGTGGTGTCGCTACACACCAAACGCCTGCGTAAGCAGACGCCCCTGCGGGGAATACCTGAGGTGTGGATGCAAAAAACTGTGCTGGTGGCGCCATATTATGATGCATAATTACACTAAAGCATACAGACCTACTGATGCAATGACTCAAGTGCAGGCAAAAAAAATTTTAAGCAGCAACAACTGCTTATGTACTGTGGCTCCTTCTTCCCATCCCCTAACGCAAGGCACTTCAAAGTACACTGTAACCGACCCAAGTCTCTCAAAACACTGTAACCAACCCAAGTCTCTCAAACAGACATTGCTAGGACTACTATTATTACACTTGTGCAAATATTGAAATGTTTCAAATATTCAAACAAATAACGCAATATTCAAATTCACTTCGAATGAAATTTAAGTTCTTGAACATATTAAATTATTCGAAACCAATGAACAGGTGCATATTAGTCTGCATGTGACACTGTGTAAAGGTGGTTGCACTGCAGCAGAGCGGTGGTGAGCCGTGAAAGCACCTATCCAAATATACATAAGTTCGCATTTAACTCCCTTGTAAGAGTAGTTTCACTGCAGTGGACTGATGCTAAGCCGTGAGAACACATATCCAGGGAAAATTCACAAAGCTGCAAAGCCCCAATTTAACCCTCACATCCGATTCACTTTTTAAAGCTTAAAAGCTTGTTATACCGACTTGGATGCTTCAAGGATAGCACATTTTAAAAAGTACCATATTTTACAGGCTATGACTTGCATTCTATTGAAAGCCAAATCCTGCTACTATTCGAAGTTGTTTCCGCTTCGCTTGATGCAGAAAATGGCATTTTCACAGGCCTTGTAAGTACTGTTGCGAAGCGCGCCTCCGACGACGTTATGAAGGGCGCCTCGAAATCTCACCGCTGCAACCACCGTTTCGAAAGACGGCGACGCCAACACGGTACCGAAGGCGCCACTGCTTCGAATTCAACCGGGAAGGTCACCAGCCGTTTCGTAGCGTAGGTTTCTCAGCTCGCGACTGCTTCTGCGCAGAGCTGATAGACGATCGGACGATACGACGGTGAGTTAAACAAGGCTTATGTACAGCATATATACAGAGGCATTACAAATTCGGCACTGGGGCCGACAGAGACGCGAAGAGCCGAGCTCTTCTCTCTAACAGATAGCTCTACTCTCAAAATGGGCCTGCTGTCAAAGGGGTCTCTCTCGACGCGCCGCAGGGCTTCTTTTATATGCCCCGGGTCCAACCCGAAGCGCCGCTGGTCGCGAGGTCAGAATCCTCCAATGAGGTCGCCGCTAGGCCGCGTCCTTCTTTCTCATCGAATCTGGAGAGGCTGCGCTGTAGGTGGCTGCACCCAAGGACGAGTGACGTCGCCGCGCATTGCGTCAGCCGCCAGACAGGAAGACGCCGGTTGTTTATTCGACGGCTCGCTTGCTGAGGTGACTCACTGCACGTGGGAGACAGAAAGGCGCCGTGTGTTGACGCCGTTGAGCTGTTGATCGCGTCAGGCGGCTCGCGGGCTGGCCTTGACACAGATTGCCTTTTTCAGAGGCACGGACGTTTGCTGTCGACTCGCAGGCATAACAGCACCCCCGCCGCCAGACAATGCGCCGGAAAGACGAGCTGCTTCCACGTGGCTCGGATGTCAAGCGCGCTCGTTCGCCAGGTCCCTCCAGGTTCGCCTCCAGGGCCATGGGGAGAATGCAGCTCCAGACTCTGTTCCGGGAACACATCCCATTCTTGAGGACGCATCCCAGCTCCACTGGCTTGTTGCCACAACTTGTCGACCAGCTTCGCTCGTCTCTTCTGACGATCTTTGGTTTCAGCACTTGACGATGGTTCTGCCACTTGCTAAAAATGGTTCGACAACAGACAACACACGACACAAGCAAGTGCCCTCGCTCACCCGACAAAACACCAGACAAAGTATAGTACAACAAATACCTAGGTACGTGTCTATAGGAATTTCGTTCCCTCTACATCAAGAGGCACATGTGGGACACAAGACTCTTAAAATGAAACTCAAATTTTTTTTTTACACGTA